GAAAGTTGGTGCTTTTAGAAATCTGTTACTAAAATGTGTTTATTGATTCTATCTTAAAGTTTCACTTTATTTTATTATTTCTGGTGCTAATCACACACACTACCACTGAGCTACACCCCTGGCCCTCTTTGCTACATTTTAAAATTCATTAAAACTCACTTTAATAATCTAAAACTCATTTTAGGTTTGTGTTTTGAATGTATAAAGTTAACCTCATTGATAAGAAGAATGAGATGTTAGATTTAAAATGAGACAGTTATAGATTTAAAATGAGACGTTTTCTTAAGCATGGAGTGTTTGCTTGTTAGGAATGTAAGCATGTTAGGTTTCAGGAATGTGAAATACTTGAAATGAAAACTGACATTAAGTTGATAAGGGCAGCTAAAAATGGGACAGTCATAGGGTGAACAAGTCTGCTCTCCTAGGGCTGAGCTAACACTATTCAAGTATACTGCATGTGTACATAAGAAGACAGCATAATGAAACCCACCAACCACTGAAAAGGAGGGGAAAGACGGAGAGAGCAATGGGAATGTAGGAGGGAGGGGTTAACTTGTTCAAGGATCATCACAACGAAATGCCCCAAATTATTAATGTATGATGACTCAAAAATAAAATTAAAAAAAAAGGCAGAGGTGATGTTTTCTATTCACCCACATGTGCATCTCAATCCCAACTCTGCTGATAGGCACGGTGAATTCATGAATAGGGCAGATCTGCCCTTGAGGTACTTGTCATAGGATACAATCTCAATCTCACTGTCATACCATGATTTATTTAAAGCCTCTGAAAGAAATATCATCTATGAAGGATTGCCTGAAGTATAATCCATAGAGCCTATTCATTCTTCAAGATATTACAAAAGTTATCCTTGGATGAACAAGGCTGCCAGAAAAATATGGATGAGGAATTGTTTGTTTTACCTCCCTCCTAACCAACTTGCCTTAAATATAAATAATGATAATAATAGTCCTTCATACTTATTAAGGAATTAAAATGTATTCAATGTGACCTCCTCAATCTTTCCAACAACCTAAAGAGTGTGGAATGTGTATATGTGTGAGTATGTCTCCACTCACAAAGATAAGTGGCAGATCTTGGATTTGAACTCAGGTTCATAACCATTTGACATTATGTTCTTAGCTTTCACTTCTGTACTTACTATGAAGGTATTCTTGGAAATGATGTAGTTTAAGGCACCAACCTTACTTTTTGCTTTATCTTATTTTTCCATATTAAATTTACTTTTAAAATAAAGTATATTGTTGTAAAGTACATACTTTTGTGTGTAGACAAATTATTTTTGGAAGAATAGAATATAAATAAATGAAAGAATAAACAAATGAATGCATGCTAATTTATAACCAACTGAATAATGAGTTAGAAATCAAAGGCAGATTTGTTTTTCAAAGACTCATATAGATCAACACCATCCAGTAAAAACATAGGTGAATCACATGTGTAAATGAAAATTTTCTAGCAGCCACATGAAAAATTGTAGGCAAAATTAATTTTAATAGTGTGTTTTATCTAATCCTCCAATCCAAAATATTATATTAACATATGAGCAGTATTATAAAAAGAATAAGATATTTCACTTTTTTGCGGGGGGGAAAGGCATGGACACAGAGTCTTGCTATGAACTCCAAGCTGACCTGGAATTCACTATGTAGCCAAGACTAGCCTTGAACTCTCAATCCTCCTGCTTCAGCCTCTCAAGTAATGGGATTATAGGCATGTACCTTACACCTGGCTCATTTTTTTTTTCATACTAGGTCTCTGAATTTAGCATGCATTTTCTCTTACAGTACATCTCATTGTAGACTAGCTCAGTGTCTATATCTGACTAGACACTATTAGACAGAGTACACAGAGTTGAATGAAGGGTTAGACGCCAGGCAGTTTTTGTCCAACCCACTTTTTTTTATTGTTGTTAGGATACCAAGATGACTTACCTATGGAAAAGTCAGGACTACTGTCTTGGATTCCAGCTCAGTGTTCATTCCATGGTTCACACTTTCAAGGTGAATGGAAATTCACTTCCACAGAGGACAGCCATCTCTCTTCCCTATCACTTTTCCAGTATACCACCATCTACTCTTGTCTGACATAAATACATTTGCTCCCAGGGCTTTCTTCTCAGTGATGAAACTGGGTGCTATTTCACTGACATCAGGGGTCCCCTATTCTCAAGTTCAGGAATGGATGTTACCCGACCCTTTGGTGTGCTCTTCAAGGGGTGAACAAGCTCTGGACCCCAATGCTCCCTGCGTTTGTCAACTGCTGTGCTGTCTGTGCGATCAGAATGTGGACTGAGCACATGTTTGAGAAGGGATAGAGCCTAATCATATTTCCTTGTTGGGTTATTTATTGTGATCATTGTCCTCATCCATTTTCTTTATCTGTCTCACGTTGGTCATGTATTGGAACCATATGTCTCCACAAGGAACACAGTAAATTCTATTCTGTGGGGAGGAAAAAACTAAAACCTAGACCAGATTCAGTGAAAATGTCTCTTCAAAATTTAATTGCCACAGGTTATATAACTGACAGGTGACCTCACTAGATACTAACAACCTAATAAGAACTGGATGGAAAGCCTATAAGACAAGACTATTAACTCTTTCCTATGATCCTTTTCTCTTTTATTTCTGAGACAGCCACATAGGGGTGAGAGATCCATTCTTGACTCATCTCTGTAACTGTGTTGTGACCCTCCCTGCAGTTGGTTATGCTTGTATCCCCACCTACTTGTGTCCCCCACCTGTTTGCCCTTTGAAACCAACTCATCTGCATCAAACCCCTACTGTTCTTCAGAGACCCTGCTTCATGAAGTTCTGGGCCCATTATCAACTCACATAGGAGAAAAGAGGCTATCATTAGATTACCCAATTACTCTGATAGCTCAAAAATTAGTTTTGAAACAGAAAAAGTCCTTCTTTTCTTGTTCTTCTATTTCAGTTATGTGAATTTCTTTCCATCCTGCCAAAATTCTACCGTAATTGCAAATAATTGTAAAAATTATGATTCTAACTGAAAACTATTTTGAAGCATTACTATACACGTGTGTGTGTGTGTGTGTGTGTGTGTGTGTGTGTGTGCGTGTGTGTATAACCTGGTCATATATGCTCTTATAACCTAAAACACTGCACTCTAATGGCTAAAACAGGGGGACCCAGAATTGATGTTTTACAAAGTCAGAGCAAGCTAGGTGGCTGAGCTGGTAGTCTGGCTCTAGCTCTGGCATTCATTGTGCTGGTGACAGCTACTCTTGACTCTGTGGCTTTGCCTATAGTACAGCAAGTACTCATTGCCCACCTTCAAGATGTGCTTGGTTTCTATCTGGGATTCAGCCAAACACTCTGTTCCCTGCAGGCTGCTGTGTTTGCATCTCTATTAGGTAGAACCTCAAAGGTCAGAGGTGTGACTGCCTCTTTGGCCCAGAGACCAAAGTAGGGACAGGGTCATTTCAGAAGTTTCTCTCCCACTGTGTATTTGTGCAGTTCCCGCTCTCAACCTTAAATAGTTTCATAATTTTTCTCCTGAGTTTGATAGTTCTTAGTTTTAAGGCACAAAAGAGATGTTTTATATTTCCTACTTTAAAATCACACAAAGCTAATCTGTTTTTGAGTTGCTGGTAGCTTCAGATTTACTTTATTTTTCCTGAGATTCCTTTAGTATAATGAGGGCTTTCTATCTTTTCTCCATTGAAAAGCACAAAAGAAAACTAAACTAGTAAAAGCAAATAGTTTAGAAATTCTCTGTCCTCACTCCAGACCTCATTCTTCTGTGAGGCCAAGGAGAAGGTAAATTTCTCAACAAGGTGTGGTGTCAGGAAAGAGATTGGAAAAGAAACAGCAGGGAACAACCTACAAAGTAGATACATGATCCTCAAATAATTTTAAAGTCTTTTTAGGGTTCTGTGCTTGTTTCACAGTCTGTACTATAGGGAATAATGCCAAATTGACTGTCAAAGTTTGTAAAGAAATTTAAGCATTATTAGATGGATGCATGCATAACTGGAAGTGGCACAGTGTGTTGGGAAGACATTTAAACAGGAGGCACAGCTCCATTTTGGTGTTCACTGCCAGCTGCATAATCCTGAACAAATCAATGAAATTTCTTGAAGGTGCAGCACGTCACCAGTAACATATGATGCTGCCTCCTGCTCTTCAGTGCCACCACTGGGATTGAATGAAATGGCAAATGTAAAATCACTGTGAACTTGTAAATGATGGTAGCATCACTTACTCTGGGATACCTGTTATGTGCCAAGTACTCTCATTTTACATGAGAAAACAGAGGTAAGGAAGGCTAACTAACTTGTCCAAAATTTCAAAGGTCCACATGGGAAAGCTATGACTCAGCCCAGGCAGCTGGACTTCAAAGCTTATGCTTTACTGTCTCTCCAAATAAAACCCAAGTTAAAAATTATGTAATCTCAGAATGAAATTAGGAAAACTTGACAAATGCTGTCCAAAATTCACTTTTCTATAGGAAAGTTTTTACTGAAAAGGAAGCATAGGTGATAGTGCCTGCAAAATCTATTAAAAAGCCAAGTGCAGCAAAATGTGGACATTTTTACAAGAATGTGGACAGGACAGTCCTGAAAACCAACAATGTACCTAAAAGCAAAATTACCCTCTTAGTTTTGACAAAAAGAGAAGGCATTAAATTAAGGGTTGTCAGGCAAAAAAAAAAATCTGAAATAATTTCTAAAATATCACATGGGTATGTTTGTGCTGTATTTTGATAACCATTTATTGAAACTGTTCATATGACCACAATTCTGTATTCAAGATCCAATAGATATGCCCGAGGCCAGATGAGGATATAATTAAAGAGTGATATAAACTTGTACAATTTTTCTTTCCTCTCAACTCTAAGCATAGCATTTTAGTTCAGAAATAGTGTCCCACCGTCTTTGGTTAAGTATGGAAGAGGAGGCCAGAGAGTTAAGGTATAGAAATAACTTTATGTTCTCAAACACCCACCCATACCTGCTGCCTGCAGAAAACCTATTGGCTGCTTTTTCTTTTTCTTTCCACTTCTTTCCCTTGTTCGAATCCCTTCGCAAAGGTGTCCTATAATGACAGTACACAATCAGAAAGAGGAAATTGAAATTTCCTCCTTTAATCTTCCTTTTACAGAGGGCTTGCTTTTTACATTATGAAGTGCTTACCCCAGATCCACAAACTTCTGCTTAATTTTGCCTCCTTGCACCCCCAACAAATTGGATGCCCTTAGTGATTTGGGGCATTTGGCATCATCTAGGATAGAGACATATATGAAAAAGACCAATTATTATTTTTTAAAAGTCATTAATCAAAAATCAGTACATCTCTGAGTCTAAGGTGTTTGCCTAAACTCCTAACAGTACAAGTCACAGGAAGTGCAGCCATGTGGAGGGACATTCACTTAGGCAGGAGAGGTTCTGCTGGACAAAGACTCAGTCAGTACTCATCACAAAGAGAGTTAGCTTCAAACACATTGGAACGAATGAGATAGACAAGAGTAAACACAATCACTTCATCTTCTGCTTCAAAGCATGGATTAAGATGTCTTTTCTTTTGTCCCTTCTTTGGCACCAAGAAAGGAACTTTCTTGTCTTCAAGTGCCTTGGCTCTGTCTTCCATACCTTTCTTGCCTTTTGGTTTTCATGCCTTCTGAAGAAACCCAGCCTACTCCTCTGTATCTCCAAAGCCCAGGATGGAATGTCATCTCTGAGAGTCTGGGAGATTCAAGAAGAAACTTAGTGTGAAAGTTTTCCTTTTTGAGCTCTCCCTTCGTAGTGGGATAGGGCAGAGAAGAACTTGGGGGGAGACTTCTTAAGCAGGAGCTCAGCTACAAAGTATTTATATCTTTGAGAGGTCTTTCTTGATATCTGGGTTGGAACATAAGTTGGCTGGCCTCCCATGATGCAGAAGATGCCCAAATCTCTCAGTGTTTGGAGTTGACTGATCACTACCTCCTTGAGTTATGCTGGCATTCTAAATGGTAGTGTCTTCTGGGGGATGGGGACACTCAAAATGATGCTAAAAACTAATCAGAAGAGAGGCTTTTTGAGTGGAGATCAATGTCAATATGGGGACTAGATTCCACCAGTGGCGCTTACTCCACCTTTGACAACACAGATGACTCCTAAGGCTCTACTTGTTGGGTAGCCATAATGTTGGGTGCCATGTTTCAGTACACCAATGATTAGCAAATGGTGTTTAAAATCTGATGCGTTTTTTGTGTTGGTGCCTTTCTCTATATTTTTAATTGTTTTTTTGAAAAAATCTAAGAACTATTCTGGCACAGAATGCAGAGACAACAGACCTCCTAAGATGGTGTTAAGTTAACCTTTGCTTGTGATTTTTGTTTACTTCAGGAGAAATTTATAACCACACATCTGTAAAGAATATGAAGTTCACATAAACAATGTCACTCACGAGTTCTAGTTTCTAAGCTCTTAAGCCACACAGCAAACTGACAAATAATCAAAGAATTCTTAGCAATGAGCTTTTCATAATTTTAGTTAATGATACTTAGATTACAATAATTGATTCCTTGAAATGTACATAATGAAATACAGGGGTCAGAAATTTGTGTCAAAATCCACTTCTAGCTTCCAATATTTATTATAGATATTTGCGTCATTATTCTTTGAGTAGCCATAGGTGTGACAAATACACATAAAAAGAGTCCTCAGACATGACACAGATGTCTTCTAAGGTGATTTTGCTAATGGACATTGAAAAAGAAAGTAGGATTTCAATTTTCTCAATAAAAGCCAAAGGAAAGAAAGTGCTGTGCTCTTACAGATCAATCCTAAAGTAGCTCTTAATGGCTAGGACTGTGCGAAATTTAAAGGAGACCAGCTAATTATTTTCTGAATTAGAGGTAGCTGGGAGATGTTTTAAAGAGTGATGAGAAGCCTGACTGAGACAATGCACACGGAAACACTCTGTAACCTATTAGTGCTGAAGTTATTTGGTCATCTTGGGACTAAAAGCCTGATTCTGCCCATTACAGAGCCTGCTGCTAGGCAACCTCACATCATTACCTTACACATTTGCCAAAGTATGTTCCAAGGAACACACTTGGAAATGTATGGGAATGAATGCTTCCACAAGGCAGAAGAGGTAAGGTAAAGAAATGATGTCCTTTTCCATTTTAAATTAATCAGATCTGTTTTTCTGGTCTATGTAAAAACAGCAGTGGATTGATATGTGTTCAGAAAAAGAGAAAGAAGCATCATATTTTGTTTGGTTATTTATTTATTGAGCTTTATGTAAGACTTTCATTAGGCTTTTAGAAATCTCTCAATACTACTCTTGTTTCTAATAGAAGTCTCAGCCCCCAGATTGAGTGTGCCAGTTTTAAGCTTTGGCAAACTAGTTTTCATTTTCAAGGTAATAAATGACCTCTTGATAGCTAAACCCTAAGGACTTTTCTTGAATTGCATTCTTCTTCATGTATTGCAATCAGACACTTGCCCATCCCTCCTTTTATGATGAGAACTTCCAAACCTATCTCCCCCCGTCCTGGCTTCTCTCCGGAGGTCAGGACCATCTCTGTTAAAAAACTGAACGAATCATATTTCCCTGTTATGTCTCCAATTTCCTGTTAATGGGAACCACAGGTCGTGAAGCTAGAAATCTTGTGATTGATTCTTATCATTTTGTTTGGTTTTGTGATCCAGGGGATTGAACTCAGGGCCTCTTGCTTGTTAGGCAAGGGCTCTACCACTTAAGCCATGCCTCCAGCCCTCTGTAATTGGTGTTGACTCACTTTCTTCCCCCTATTGTCTAATCACCTTATGCTTCAAGGGTTCTTGTATGGATTCTGTCATTTTCCATGGCTCCTCTTTACAGGTTACCACCCAGCAGTGTCTCCTCACTCAGCTTCCCCACATCTACTGTCTTTTCTGCCTTATTCTCTACTCAACACAATCTTGTGGCTTCTGAGTAACAGGATAAGGTATCTGAGATATTTAAATTCTAGAGCCATACATAGACTGAACCTACCTGCTTGCTTTCAGGAGCGACCTCTAAAACCTGCATGGAATGCTTCAGCCAGCTGGGATAGCCCCGTTCCTTTAAATTCGTACTGCATATGTCTGCCCTGGCCATGTCATCACTCTATCTTGCATGCCCTCCCTTACCTATTTTTCTTTCTTCTTTTTAATTTTTAAAGTCCTTTGAAGGTTACTTCAGTTGCACTTCCTATGTAAAGTTTGCTTACTAACTTCAGATGGATTCAACCTCTCCCCTCTGGGCAATGATACAGTTTTACTGTACGTTCACAGAGGCCTAGTGCAACATATGAATGAGAAATGCTTCATGTAAACCTTTAAAAAGGCAGGATCTACTTACCATGATTTAATACAGTCAGTATTTCTAAATGCATGTTCTGTGCCAAGCAATGTGTTGATAAGGACACATAAACTTAGAATAATAATCTCTAATAGTTGAGCAGTTTTCAGACAGAAAACTGATAGTACTTAACTTACTGTACTTAGCCTTGACTAGAAAAAGGCCTATTGCTGTTTAAACCTAGAGACAAAAACTTTAGTACTAGGCTGCTTATCTAATAGAGATAAAGAAGGTATTTTTATGCTTCCTACTGTCATAGAACCCTGTTTTATAAACTTCTAGGAAAAAAAAAAACCCTCATTACTTCCTCTAATTCAATGGGTATTCATTCAGTTAGAGGCTTATCATTGAGTCAGTGACTATGGGGCTCTGTCTCACATTCTACCGTCATCCCTCAAAAAGGAGAAAAAGTGGCTACTTGGAAATGTGGCACTGACAGAATTTAGAACACATATAACTCTAGTTACAATAACTAGAGTTTTTTCCTCAGGTTTACAATCAAATATAACTGTAAGTTAATCATCTTTGTACTAACTTGATAGGTCAAAAGTAATGGCATATTATTTTTTAAAAATTCTACACAAACAGCAACCAGTGACTCAGCTGTTGTCAGGTTTATCCAGCAATGTTGAAGGAAATATACTTCTAGACCAGAAACCAGGAAGCCTTTTCTGTAATGGGCCAGACAGCAACTATTTTAGGTTAGTGAGATGTATAGACTCTGTCACAATCACACAACTCTGCCATTGTACCATGAAAGTAAACCTATGTAACTGAGGAATGTAGCTACACTCACGTAAGACTCTGTTCACAGGTGGTGCCTGGGTTTGTGATGACCTCCCTTCCAGATGAGTGTTTTTAGTTATCTGGAGAGACATACTTAGTAAGCATTTTATCCAGAGAAATGCTGAACATCAGTTAAATGCCATGCTCTTAGTTAGTGACCAAGAAGACAAGGATTAATAAGTGAGAAAACTTCAGCTCACACGTGACTACTACATCACTTGCTGTACAGCAAGTGACAGAGGCAGAGGTAACAGTGAGAACTCCAGTGAAATCAGAAAGAATAATTCACTCTACCTTGGAATGGGATAGGTAGGCCTAAGGTCTCATCCAGGAGGTGAAATTTAAGCTAGATTTTGCAGATCAGAATTTTCCAGGAGAGCAGGATTAGACAATAGTATACATATGAGGTCCAGTTTGTACCTGTGAACATCACTAATCCCCTTCTTAGTTCCCTGGTTAAAAAACCAATGAGTTGTAAGAAATACACATACCAAGGGAAGCCAGAGGTTAATCACATCTAACATCTCTTGAGCCCAGGTCAAAACAGTGGATTAGTCTCACATAGCAAGGAATGCATGTGTTTTTATAGAATCTTGCTCTCTAGATTTTGAGAACAATAAAGGTTAACCTACGTTGTATCAGCCTCTGCAATGCCATAAAAATGAAGCAGAGATTTCCCTAAAGTTCAAATGACACTGAGGTCTGTTTACTGGGAACTGGGTAGGGAGAGAAGGAGGGACGAGAGAAGTGTAGAGCTGGTGGGGCTGCAGTGAAACCAGTCATTCACCAGTACACTCCATACTCTGTACACATCCAGTTAACTCGATTCTAATTTTATGCTCACTGAGCAACCTTCTGATCTGTGAACCTGTCAACCACGAGAGACAGAATGGAAAAAGTAAAGGATGGTGGTTATTATGTCAGCTGACTTCACAAAGTAAACCAGAAAATTAGTATTCTGTTTTAGACATCAGTGTTTTCAAACTTTGAGTCACATGAATTGGTCACGCAGAGACTGATTAAATATAGGTATATTACTGAGATTATGGGTTTAGAAAACTGAGAGCCAGACCCCAAACCCCTGATAGTGTTGTCTGGGAGTCATGGATGACAGGTCTCCCTCTTGGGCATCTTTCGAGGTACAACAAAACGTGAGAATGGAAAGCCAAAGAGCATAGTATCTTCCTGGTTGTTGATCATGGGGTGTAATGGGGTATCAGAGAGACAAGGTCTGCCACCAAAAAAGCAAGCTAGCAAGAAATATGACAGAGAAAGAGAGAGAGAGAGAGAGAGAATGAGAGAGAGAGAGAGAGAGAGAGAGAGAGAGAGAGGAGAGAGGAGAGTGATGGGGTGGGGTAAGAGGGACTCTAGTAGGCAAGCTCTTGGAGATAAAGGATAGACTTCTATTTGTCATTGTAGATCCAGCTCAGAGCTCAGCAACTGTTGACTGAATAAATGAATGGCTGGATTATTGTCAAATGAACATGAAGGCAAGGAAACTCTTTAAGGCTGGAAATTTATCAAGGTAATGAAAGAAAATGTCAAAACAAATGTCAAAGCTTTGACATTGTTTCCATCTGGTCACAATCAGTAGCTACCAATGGTTACCACAATTGTCTCTGACTATACAGTTAGAGCTCAATTAATTGTCCTGTTCTGTTACTCAGAAGTCAGCTCATACCAAGAGAATTGAAAAAGGGAAAGCCAAGACACTTGGTCTCTGGAGAAGAAACTACCCACCCATCTTTCAGCCCTGCTTAAATTCCAAAGAAGACACAACAGCAAATAAGACAGGCCTCAGAGGAAAGGGGAATTCTTTTGCTTTATTGCTGTGTTACTGGTAAAGGATCGTGAGGCACAATTCACATTTGTGGACTATTCCAATCCGAGAGGAAGCATCTACCAGCTTCAAAGAATCATAAATGAATTAGGAGAGGCAGAGAGAAAGAATTCAGGCAAGATTTAGCTGCTTTAAAAAAATCTTTGGGTAGGTTTTCACAGGTGAACGATCCGTTCCTTGACTATAATGCAATTTCCTTCCAATGCCTTGTTAAGGGGTTGGGGACACAGCTCAATGGTAGAGCACTTGCCTACCATGGGCAAACCCTTGGTTTCAATCCCCCGCATTGCAAACAACAAAACCAAATCTAACGAAATAACCCTGCAAAAGATTGCTAGCTATGACTCAAACTCACAGTGTAACTCAGAATATTAACAGATTACCCTGAAGTACGTAGTATGGTTGTTCTAGCTTCTTATGCACCACACAGTCTATATACATTTAAGAAAAAAAGATGATGGTGGGCTTGCCAGAAGTATAGTTCTATAAAAGTGTGATTGTAACCCACGTTTAGGTTAATTAATGATGGATTTTTCAGTCTGTAATTCTTTTGAAAGTAGGCCAACATCACAGTCAAGCTGTTCACCAACCTGACAACCACTGTGGATGATCAGCAAGCCTGACATATATTCTCTTGCCTCCACAAGTGTTCTGTACCCCCTAAATAGCCAATTTTTGCCTCAAAAGTGCTTCTAGAAGAACCGTACTCAGAACCAATCTGTGGAAGGTAACTGACAGGCTCAAGAAAGAAAGGACCAACACCCTTCACCAAGAGTCACAAAGCAGTGTTAGTCCCACAGCCAACGGTACTTCTATGTTCATGAGGTACTTGTGGAAAGGCTGCAATTTCTGATCTGGTAGGGGAAAATTAGTGTGAAGTTTTAAAAAAATGTGGTGATGTGCAATTAGACCTACAATGTATGAATGTGGTGCACATCACTGTCGGCACTGGCTGAAGACTTGGGTGGTTGTGTCTCTCTGATCGTTAGTGAGGCTGATTACGTTTTCATGTCTATCATGCACATTTGCTCCTCAAGAGATTGAGTTTATTTCCTTAGTCTACTTTTTCATTGTTTGGAGTTACTTGGATATTAGAGATAAAGTGTATCCATTAACTTCATATATAGAGCCTTTTCCATGTTTACTGTCTACTAAATGTGGAATATTTAGAAACCGGTGTAGAGTATAAGCATAAAACAATAAAACAACTCATTTGCCAGCACAGTTGATAGGACTGAGCCCTCCTAAGCATTTCCCACATAACTCACTTGGTCATTCCCAACTTTCAACCTCAAAATTTTGTTTATCCATCTAAATAATTTACTAGTTTTGCTTAATTCTATTTAAATAGAACTGTATGCATTCCGAGCTTCAACCCCCTACTGTTATGTGTTGGTGCAGTTTTTTCAGCTTCCCTGCAGTTTAGCTATCCAATTCTACTGCTTTTGCCATTAGGTCACAGGGTCGTTGTGAATACTCCTGTGTGTAATTCTTCATGGACAGGCACAGGTTACAGACTTACTGCCATTTAAACTCGTATATATCACCACAGATGGGTGTCCATAAAATTTGCATTTCAAAGTTTCAGAGCAACGTGATTAGAAGGATTCCATGTTTGTAAAAACACAAATATGCAAAATCAAAACATATATATACAAAAAGTATTTTTGTTTTATGTCTGTGTGTGGGCATGTGCGTGGATTTCATTTCAGATGTGAAAGACAATATACACACGTCTACTTGGTTACTTTAAAGGAACACATCGTTTGTGAAAGGAGAAATAATCTACACTTTATACCTCACTGCATTGTTTAAGTTACTTAAACAAGAATTTATTGTTTCTAGAAACTGAAACTAAAAAAACAAATTAAGTTACAATTAAAAAAACAAAAGTTGGTGAACACTGCTATGAAATCCTGGTGCAATTCTAGGAGACTATTTTAAAATTTAATTGACTAACCTTCCTGCATTATCTCTCACAGTTATCCCATCACATTCTTTGTAATGCAAATTACTATTATGAAAACTTATTCAAAATAAAAACCAATTAATGTGCAATGACCTATGTCACTTTGGTCTTCATACATTTTTTTCCTATACGGCTGTTTTTTACCAAAACTCTGGGCTGTATTCTATATAATTTTTAGATGGTCACCCAAAGAATTTTTCCTTGTGGGGAGCTAAAGAGATACTAAACTGATGGGAAAATATCAGAACCAGAACAAAATACATGGGAATGGGGGGGCTCTTTTTTATCCTGGAAATAAAAGGAAAGTAATACTGCTAGCTGTGAGAGGACAAAGGATTAACGACTATGAGGAAAACTTTTTTTCACATACACAAACTGAGGTGCGAGTGGCGTCAAGACAAGGCAATAGCAGAGGAACAAAATTAACAGTACCTTTTTCTTGTAGTGTCCTCCCGGTGGTGGCTTGATGTTGGCAGGCTGATTCTTCCGTCTCATGGTCAGATTTTGAAGGAGAGGAGAGGGAGGTGTCTTCCCAGGCGAAGGAGAAAAGCCCTCCTTCTGGTCCTTCTTGAAACTCAGCTGTGTGGTCACATGAGGACACCCGGCTAGCCCCTGGGGTGAGGGGCGGGACACCAGAATCTGAGTCTGGAGAAGAAGTTCTCAGACCCTTGGGCGGAAGTGATTTGGTAACATGCGTGTGGTTATAGAGACTGTTTGAAGGCTGTTGGTATAAGAGATTGTAAAGGAGGTTATGCATTGAGTATCAGTTCTGGGCAATACTCACTTTGAAATTAGACCAACTTTTTAGTGAATCCCCAAGGAAAGGCATTTTTGTTTGTTGGTTTACCAGTCAGAATACATGTAGTTCGTAACTATTCATCATAACGTTGTAGCTAACACAGATCCCAAAGACACACAGAAACGATGACTTGCAAATTCAATCCTTACCAGAAGATAAAACCAACAGCTGAATATCAAAAACACCCATCATGAAGTATGACAAGAATTCTGGAGACAAAGACATGAACTATTCCTAGTTTCCAACTATGGCAGCGTCTGGATGCACAAAACCCATTATTTTCAATGAGCTGTGAGAACCATGATCCAGGCCCGCTCAAGTCAGAAGGAGCCAGGGTGCTCACCTTTCGCTCTAGACTGTCCTCGCCATCTGTTGAGCTGACACTGTCATACAGTCGTGTCCTCGTGGGCCTCTGACGCCTGTTCTTCACAGAGAGCTGGGCTCGAGTTTTCAGTGCCTTTGAATCCAGGCGCTCTGTCTCTGGGACAGCTTCATTCAAGTCTAAGAAAAGAATATTGCAAAGTAATAACAAAATCTTGAGGTTGTCAGTAACACCAGGTGACAGGCGACAGCCATTGCAGTGTCTAGTAGCTCACAAGTAACAAAGGAATCCGTGAGATTTTGCAGAGATGAACAAAACTGAAAGGATGAAAGCTACACTGGAGGTGACCAAATGACATAAAAATCTAACATCCAAAGAGCGTAAAACCTTCCTAAAGCACAATTATAAAGAGCACTGGATTTGTTTGTTTGTTTCTTTACTTACTTATTGGTACTGGGATTGAACCCAGGGCCTTGCACATGCTATGTAAGAGCTCTACCATTGAGCTACACCTCTCGGAGCTCTTGTTTTGTTTTTGAGACAGGTTCTCACCACTACCTTTGCCTGCCCTGGCCTCCAGCTCTTGGTCCTCTTGCCTCTGCCTCCTGAGAAGCTGGGATTACAGGTGTACACTAACACACCTAGCAAATGCACTTATTTATATTTGCTAATTTCCATGTATGATGGAGTATTTGATGACCATAGATGTAAGGGGAAGTTGGGAGATCTTAGAAACCCTAAAGATGAAAAAAGTACTATTGTCAAGGTCTATTGTGGACAAGAGGTGATCGTAAGCATAAATTTTCTGCAGCAAAGTTTATTAATAGGCTTTTACCAATTTGATCTAAATATATTTTTCTAACCTGAACAGTTTCTGAAAAACTAACTTGGTTGCTCTTGAACCCTGTATAAAACCGAGAGCAGAAATTGGAAATAGGACGACATCTGGCTACAGAAACAGATCAACAGTTAAACCATCAGAAGTACTTAATTAGCTAGCATTTAGATGGAATAGGAGAAGAATTTTCTTTCCTTCATCTTGTAAGTTTATATTCCAAGTTGTTTGTCTATGCCTCTGTCTCATTTCTTTTGTGAATAGCTATTCCCCTCATGAGAAAATATTTCTTTAAATAAAAAGATTCCACAAAGGCATGGTGGTACAGGCTTATAATCCCAGATACTCAGCAAAGATCAGGAGGATTATGGTTCAAGGCCAGCCTGGGCCAAAAAAAAAAAAAAAAAATTTAGTGAGACTGCCCCCATCTCAAATGAGTTGGGTGTGGTAGTACTTGCCTGTAATCCAAGCTACATGGGAGGTACAGGTAGTAGGATCAGGATTCAATACCAGCCCTAGGCAAAAAGCATGAGACCCTATCTGAAAAAAATAATTAGAGCAGAAGGGCGAGAAACATGGCTCAGGTGATAGAGGGCTTGCAGGCCCTGAGTTCAAACCCTAGTACACACAAAAGACTCTATGAGAAAAAGGGCGGGGGGAGAGACAGGGAGAGAGAGAAGAGAGAAAAAGAGAGGGGAAGACAAGGAAAATGAACTGAGAAAGACTACATACAGGGAGAGTCCAACGTGGTCCTCTTTAGACTGGCTGTTACCTCCTTTATTTTGCTGCTCGGCGTTTTAGATCAGTACCCTAAAGTTGTCATTCTAACGGGATGAGGATGCCTTACCCACCAACACACCTATTGCTGGCACTGTAAGTAGGACTGCAGAAAACTGTGCTATGTTTCTTTACCGACATCCATCTGGACGCAACTCCTTCTCATATCTGTATATATGATCACGTCTTAGAAATAGTTTCGTCATGAATCTTACTTTTTCTTTTCAGGGTGGCAGTCATACATAAGGAATTAATAAGTACTTCTGGATTTAAATTATTAAAAACAGGCAAATAAAATGAAGACCACCTTCAACTGGAAGACCACCTTCTGGTAAGTGCAAGGCTGAGTTCAAACCCCAGTACCATGAAAACAACAACAACAGCAACCCAAAGCCCCTACTCTGTACTGGTATTGACAGAATAAAACATTTTCTTACACTATCGTTAGCCTGGGCAATTCCTTTTCATAGTGGTATTCTAAAAATGTGCCCTAAATATGTCAGAAAACCACACATGGAAACACTTCAGGCTGGGCCCTTCTTACTTAAGAAACGGGGCACCAGGCAAATGGTTCTAACAAACAGAATTAAAAATGTTTTTGCCCAGGAGTTACAGCCTTTGGATGGCAATATTTACAGAAGGTCTTGACTTTTCATTTTCTATGGCTTTTCATTTCTTAGAGATGAATGAAGAATGAATCCTTGGATAAGTCAGACCACTGAGGCACACATAAAGAACAACTACACCTTTTCTAATTAGTAGTCTCTTTACTTTTTACATGCCAATGGAGAAAAAATATCTCCATCACTTTAATTTCCTCCTTCCAATAAAATCTATATTTGCAGCTACCCATTAAGAGTTCATTAGTTGTGATAATTGGGAGAAAGTCAACCTCACAAACTCTGTTTACATATGTAATGCAGAATCCCACACAGATGAAAGCAGTAATAGAGCTGGGAACGCCAAAGTATGCACACAGTTGACATCTTTTCTCTCTTATATTTGGATTGCGTGCCCCACGATAAGTGTGCCCTACGATACAAAGCTCTTGCAGATACGTAACCTCATTTGCTCCTCATGACAGCCCTGTGAGACACCACATGTTTTTGCCTCTCCTGAACTCTCTTTTGAACTCCTGAAGTTCAGAAAATTCAAGTTCTTTCCCTCCTCCACATAGCTAGTTGATGAACCACCATGATTATTTAGTGTTTTGATTCCCAGACTACTAACTAGCCACTCCAACTTAGCCAGTGCTGAGCAAGTTACTATTGTAAGATTTGCATGCCATTAGAGTGCAGTGTTTTAGGTTATAAGAGCATATATGACCAGGTTATACACACACACACACACACACACATGTATATTTTATCATCCACCTTCCATATATTTATTAGAGACTGTGGAAAACCATAGAACAAATTATTTCCCAGATGATATCATGTCTGCAGCAGCTACTCCATCACTGGGTACTGAACAAGTAAAGCAAGAAGTGAGAATGACTCATTAGCAGGGGTAGGAGTATGGACTGTGTTGACTGTAAGACTCCTGGTTCCATGACTATTGAGAATACTCAGTGTTGCTATCAGACAACCAAAACCGACAATATGATAAATTTACTTTAACATTAGTGGATCAGATGCACACACACGGAATTTAGCTGGGGTCTGACAAGCAGTGACTTAAATCTGTTACCCAAGTAGGCAGCAACACACTGCAAGCAATTAACAATGATCGAGAGTCTGAAAGTCAGTGTCAGAGCAACTATCCTTTATAGTACCGATTATCGTAGTGATTAGGGATTGCAAACCAGTAATCTAAGTTCCATTCTGAAAAATGTTTTTTAAAAGAATCTGAAAAATGGAATGGTGCTGACTACTTTCACTTCATAGCACTTAGTGTAGGAGGAAGCTAGGCAGGACGCTGTCCATAAGAAGCACCTACCAAAGACATGCAAGTGTTGTCCTTGGCACTATTAGAAGAGACTTGTGAAGACAGGAGGAAACTGCACTGGGTAACCCGATGTGAGACTTGTTTGGCCTCTATATAAGTCCTTTTCATCATGCAATTGAAGGATGAGAATATTACAACCCAAAAGAACCAGGGGATTCTGGTTTAACTGTATTTCTCCTGTAAGAAGACTGAGGCTGGAAGAAGGCTGCTCACTTGTGCACGGACTTGTACACATGGTTAATCTGTGGGAGACACTGGACAGAGCTCAGGCCTGGGGGCCCATGCCCCTTCTAGAGGGCCACTCTCATGTCTGGAGGTAAACTTCACAAGCAGTCTTCTGCCTGCCTGAAATCTTTTTGATCTTACTTTAAGTTCCAGAACCCCCTCACAAAAAAAAAAAAAAAAAAACAAAAACATGTCAAGGGCTAATTTTGCAAACTCACAGAAGCAAATAGCTTCAAGAAAAAAAAGAGAAAGAAAACACTGAGGGGTTTTATTTGGCTTTGTATATATCCGAGGAATAAAACTCTTAACCCTAAAAAAGACTAGAAGTCAATCTTGGGGATGGTAGTGTGGCAGGAGAGATCCAGATGATTCAATGTTTCTAAGTTATGTGCTGCCAGATGTAAGGGCTTAGGCGGCCGTGTGCCCTTGCTGTCACTCATTCCCTACAGAGATCTTAACAGATAATACAACACTATCCCTGAGCCTACCACTTCAGTTCTTCCTTTCCTCTTTTCTCCAGCATATCTTGTTCTGTTGTCCAGAAGGGTTGGAGGAAAACCTTATTTTCCTTTGTTTTCTTACTTATTTTTTCCTTTAGACCCTTAAGTCTGTGGAACAGCCTATCTCTGACTCAAACACAGCCAGAAATACAAAAGAAACTCAAGTGGATCAAATACCAACAGATAAAGTTAAAGGAGATATGCAGGTGCTAATGACAACGCAGTTTTGAGTGGGTGGCACTCCATCTCACCTGCATTTTAAGACTGACTTCAATACTGCTTTAAATTGGATCCTTTAAAAGAACTTAATGGATTCTATTATGATTTTAGCAGCTGTTAGGAAAAATGCTCTATGAAATTAGGATGTTATATATCACATTACACAGAGACCAGTTCCCTGCAGTGATGCTGTGAGTCATTCAGTTTTTTTCACTGGATTGACGTTATTTTTGACGTAAATGGACTGTAGCCTGAGGATCAGATCCAGGTGGCAAAGGAACCAGAGCAATGGAGCAGCATAACAATGGAGTCTACTCCATTCTATGTGCGTTATTTCCCTCAAAAGTCACACTTTGCTTTGTGCTATTGTCACCTGAAAAGCTGAGCATAAGGAGGCACTCAGTGGCATTTGGAAACTTGAACAATATCTGCATATCATTCACAGTCACTACAGGTTCACAAAAGATGGATCTACGGGGACTGGGGCTGATGCACTCTGTGTTCACGGGGTGGGTTTATGCATGGCAGACAGGCAGTGGAAAACAGTTACCATCGAGTAGACCTGGAGTTAGTCTTCTTAGAACAGAATTCGGAACGAGGTGCTCTGCCACAAAATTGGGCAATTTACCTACCCTCTCAGAGGTCCCTGAGGATCCTCCACTGCAAATCAGGA